TTTCTCTTCACAGATCATCAGAACTGCAAGTGCACAGCTAAAAGGGATGTTTTAAAAATGATTAGAAGGCATACCCTAATGCTATATCTCATGCATTTGCAGCACATCCTAGAAGACACCCAGTCTACTTTTGTTTTCAGAATGTTAGCCCATCACAACATCACAACTTTCACTTTGTTCGTTATGATCATATTTTTGTGAACTTTAAATTGGAGAAAAAGAAGCTTACTCACAGTTTACAGCCAGGACTTCCAACAGTATACAAAACAATAAATATGGCTGGTCCATAGTGAGACAAAGGGAAGCACAGTCTACTTGCAGCGAGAGGCTTAACCTGTGTGCTACTTGTCTGATCTTAGGGGGAAGGCATCTCACCTGCACTCTCAGGTTTCTTATAGTTTCTGTTTCCGTTTCCATGGTCACCACTTTGTCCTAGACCGATTTATAATTGAAGCTCCATGGCACAGTTGCTTGACTCACCTCTTCCATGACCCACAGAAACTCACCCAGTTTATTGTTGACATTTTAAGAACATGTGATTGATCATCTGCTATGAGCCTGTTCAGTTTTAGTCATGTATTATTTAACAGCTACTCTGATGATTTAGCCCTGTCCAATATAGCATCCCATAAGTCCACATGATTGAAGCTCCTAATGTGGCTCAGATTGGCTTCTGTCATATTAAATGAGGAAAGATTCAGTATGCGTCTTTACCATTCATGAGAGTCTCCCTGCACTGATATCTCCTGAAAGGATTAATGAGGCTTTTGACCGAAGTTGAGCAGCATAAGCTTTTGTGTCAGACCAGGTCAAATAAGCACTGCTGCTCAACATCTATCCTCAGGCTGGGTGTCATTAAAAATGGAGCACAGCTAAGCCTTGTCTCATCACAGTCACCATCCCTCTGTGGAGTTCCTGACCTTAGCTGGCTAATAGCCCTCTCTGTTGCCCTCATTGCTGCTGATAGCTAAAGCCGTGCTCTTGGTACATCTGTCCTCCCTTGAGTGCTGACCACTGCTTTTTTTCTGCATGACCCACTCCTCAGTTCACATGCTGCTGCCATGTTCATGGTTGCCACTTCCAGCTCTCACAATCATCTGACTGACATTGAACTAAAATGTTACTTACCACAAGACTCTAATAAACAAATTTCCTCCTATTTTAAATCTATTCACTTACTATAAAATATGTCAGCTGACTTGAATTAAAGACTTTCCTTATTTACATTAGACTGGAGCTGTTATACTTTTCCTTATTTTCTGTTACAGTGGCGGATGCTCATGTTAAACATGGCCAACATTTCAAATAATGAGAAGCGATGAAATGCAAGTAATCCTCATGAATTAAAACCTCAACTTTCAGACAGCTCTAAAGAGCCATTTTCAATCAATTATTTTATTTTTCTGTCTCTTTATGATGTCATGAGAGAGAGGATATCCTTATTATGGTCATGTCAGACATACAGCTCTGGCAGATTTAAGTCTGCTGTTTTGTTTGCAAGGGTGAGCAAATCAGAAGATGGTTGACTTAAAGGGTAGGAAGTGAATGAAGGTTCTTCATCAAGGCCAAATATAAAATAAATAGGAGTTATCTTCACCTGTTAGTTATGCAAATCAATCTCAAGTCCAAGGACAAAAAATAAATTAACAATAAATGTAACTATATCTATGAGACATTTAAAGGTTATTTAAACGTTTCATGCTCGCTAATGCTTTGTTAGCATGTGCTATTTGTTTTTAGTTAACTGTCATGTAACACTTTACAAAGGTTTATTGAAGTAATTATGATTACAGCTGTGTCATTGTGTTACCACTGTTCATAAACAACTTATAAACCCTTTATAGAGAATAGCAGACCACTACATGTTTTAATACACTGCTCATAGATGTTATAATCTGATGTAAATCCTTTTTATATCAACAGTGTTTATTATATTACATCTATTTTATTGTATTATTTAAACTTGATATATGTTTTTGTTTCCATATGTCAGCAGTTATGAACAAGTAAAGGGTTTGAACGTGACTTTCTTATAATTGCTGACATGTTTCACTGATAACTGAGGTGTATAATTTCACTGACATATATTGTTGTTCAGTACTCAGACAGGTTGGCACTGAAGCCTTATCAGTGTCAGTATCAGCATCATCATTTCTTGGTATCAGTAACTCAGTACTGGGATCTTGATTCAACCTTATGCAATCTATCTTTACTTAGAAATGTGTTTAGCTCAATAGCTGTAAATTCTACTAGTAAACATCTACTTTAAACCACATACATATATCAACATATTTAACCTGCAATGAATAAAAAATACAAATACAAACACAATACAAAACAAAACAAACAAACACAAGCTCTACATAGACTTTAGACTTTAGAGCTTTTATTGTCATTGTGCGGTTTCTTGCACAGCGAAATTGGGTAGCTGGACCACAAAGGTGCAAAAGTAAAGAAAAACAATATATGTATACATATATGTGAGTAAACTATAAACATGGTGTATGTGTAGAAACATTGAAACATTGTGGGGCTGTATACAAGGGCAGTTATATAATATAAATAAATAAATCAGGGTGGAGGGGCTATGGTCATTTAGGGTGGGGATGGTAATTCCATTGAGACCAAAATATTGTGCAAAGACCAAAGACCAAAAATATTGCACAGAACAAGGAAAGAAATCATATTTTACTGCAATTTACAGATACAAAGAGACATCCAAAAATCAGCTACATTGGCATTTATTATAGATCTTAAAAGGCAAGAAGCCAGGACTAGGTGGCCTCAGCTATTCATCAATACATTTTGAATTTTGCACAAAGGTTAAGCTCCTAGAAACTAGTTTCCAAATCTAGATTGCACTGAACTTGAGTCTTAAGTAAAGTGGTGCAGTGAGGTGAACTACAGTGTTTGGACAGTTACACATTTTGTGTTCTTTAGGCATGGCTTTGTTTATTTTATTAGTATTAATCCAAGAAAATGAAATAATGAATAAGACTTTCACACGAAATATAGTCCTTTTAATCAGATCCTTGACTACTAAACTATTTGCTGTTTTTATGCACAAAAAAGTTCAAGGACTTAGGTTTCTTTTGGGGTACCAGTAGCTATTTAGCTGTTTAGGTGGCGTCTATAGGAGTAAAGAGGTAACAATGCATGTATTGAAGATAATAAACAATCTCACAAAGTGAGAGTGCTATGAAAGGTTGTTGTTCAACCACATTATTATTATAACATGCAGTACTCCAGTTAAAGACATAAATCACTGACATATTAAAGTTGTGTGTAACAGAACCTGAAGGTGAGGTACAACAGAGAGCCTGAGTATAGTCTAAGCCCCATTGCAATGAAAAGAACACGATGTACACTCTATGTTTTGAGGGTCAAAAGTTTCATCCAACGCTATAACTGGGCTGAAATACTGTTAGTGACGTTGGGTGCAGAGGGTTTTTTGCAGCATGCTTACACACACATGATGATGGTTTGAATAATCTCTGGGTCAAGAAGTCTGAAGAAGATGTCCTTAACTGGGCCTTAGAATCGGTTGAAGAATAATGGATAATATAGATAATCAAGACTATGCAGGGAGTGTGTTGTGTGTCTGTCTAGCCATGATCATCTTGGTGTGAGGCAGATTATCACATTGCATTCCAGCGAAGTAAACTTGTAATTTCAACTGCTGAAGTAAATTAAATCTTTCTAAAGGACAGATATTTCTCCTGAATTCCTTCTGAAAAATTTGAACACGACAAAGTCTCCATGTGGTTATAATTAATATTCTGTTCATCCATTCTTTTTTCGCTTATCCTTAGGCTTGGGGAGGGAGTTTGGAGCCTATCCCAGCTACCGTAAGGCAAGAGGCAGGGTACATCCTGGACATCACCAGCCATTCAGAGGGCTAACACAGAGAGACAGACAGCCATTCCCATTCACATTCACACCTTTGGGTATCTTAGTCTAAGTGTCTTTGGACTATGGGAGGAAGTCGAAGACTTCATGGAAAATAATACCAACCATTGTTTGTATTTTATCTCTATTAGTCTGCAATAACACAAACACCATAAAGCCAGAGTTTAGCAATGTACTCTTAGCCAGTAAACTGTTTATCATTGTCTGTGATGGCCAGTTATTTCATTTAAATCTCAACTAATACATTTGAAATTTTTAGATGTTTAAATAAGATTCAGATTTTTTTTAGATTTTCATAAAATGAATCATAGAAACCGGAAGTGCTTCTGTCTTTTGTGTTTTTTTAGTTTTGAAATGAAGTTAATCTTGCCAGTGTGACTTTTCTAACTTTATTATTTTATATCCTACATAATCGTGGAAACTATTGCAATCTAATTTCATCTCATTAAAAACATTATCAACATTTAATAGAGAAATAACTGTTGAAGATATTGTTGATCCTGTAGAGGCGTTGCCAACCTAAAAACTGCAAGTATAAAACTTGAGCTTAGAAATGGGCATAATACAAGAGAACACCCTAGCTTTGTCAGGTTGTAGGTCAGTTTCATTGTAGGAGCGTGAGATGGTTACAGAACACAACAAGACGAAAAGATAATTTAAACAAAAGATCTTGACAAGGATATAGTTACACTATAAAAAGAAAGAGGAGAGCATTGGTCTCATCATTTGGAGATACTCTGAAGCTTCCTGTGTCTAGACTTTCAGGTAAGCAAATTTTTATTTTAACCCTTTTTAGTGAAATTGTAATTAATGTTCAACTGTCTAAAAGTAATTCACAGTCTAACTATATTTTAAAAATAAAAGCTCATTGTTCAAAAGAATTGAATTAAATGGTCATTTAGTGCTTTTGAAGATATTGTTGATCCTGTAATTGTTGCGATACAGTTTTCAAACAAAGCAAAATAACCAAATTAAGCAAAACTAAGCAAATAATTTATAGTTCATTAGCACGAGCAATTAAAATGACAGTAATTTATGTATATAGAAGCTGCTAGCTGTCGTTGTTCTGTGTTACAGGTATCAATTACAATATGGCTGCTGTGGCAATCACTACTGTGCTGCTTCTTTTGTCTTTTTCAGTAAATTCACGTGAGTTATATCTTTGAATTTTTCATTCCAAGACACTTAGCAAAGGATATGAAATTCTAGTCTCAATGTTTAGATCTAAAGGCTAATACACAAAGACTTTAAAACAGCTGACAAAAACAGACATGTTAGTCGATCAGGAGAAATTTTCTGTGACGTGGCTGTAATACTGCTGTCTGACTCAGTTTATGAAGCCAGACAATACTGTAGAAATGAATATTGTAAAGAGCTTAGAACGAAAACAACTAGACTTCTTTAAGTTAAGAAACTTACTAGAATATTCTGCTTTTTTTTTTTTTTTTGTTAAGGCACATTACCCTGACAATTTATCTTTTTTGTTGTAAACCAAAAGAACGTAAAATATAGAGACAAATTGTCTGATTCGCTCTGTCTTTCGTCACAGAGAAAGAGAATACAGGAAGGATCATCGGGGGTCAGGAGGTCGAACCATACTCTATCAAATACCAGGCATCCCTTCAGACTGAGGTCGGGGATCACTATTGTGGAGCCACGCTAGTTCACCCAGAGTGGGTGGTATCTGCTGCCCACTGCTGGAGACCGTAAGTACTGACACCATACAGCAAGATTGCAGCTTTACTAATAAACATTAATGAAAATGTTTAATAATTATTGAGGGGAGAAGGTCTGTTTTGAAAGAACATATGTGAAATTCTCATTTCGTTTTGTCTCTTTCTGTTTAACAGGAGTAATTTTATGAGGGTTGTGCTATGTGAGCACAGCCTGATCAAAACAGAGGGATTTGAACAGATCTTCAATGTCTCAAAGATATATGTACACAATTATAATTTCAGGACATATGAGAATGACATCATGCTTATTAAGGTAAGTAGGACTTGTACTTAGCTACAAAAAATGTGATCTCACAATGGTACCACCCTAACTTTAGTTTGTGTTACAGCTTAGCAGACCAGCACAGCTGAATGCTTATGTTCAGCCAGTTCTGATACCTGATGAAGGTACCCCTCCCTTTAGTGGCACCTGCATAGTGAGTGGCTGGGGAGTGACACAGGTTTACAGTTACACCCTCTCCCCTGTGCTACGTGCTGTGGATGTAAGAGAAATACCTTATTGCACTTGGTATTACTGGGGCAGGATCAAACCAGGTATGCTTTGTGCTGGATCTCCATACGGGGGAAAGGACTCTTGCCAGGTATACATTCATGGAAAACATGATTTATTTTTTGTTTGTGGTATGCTTAATTACTACTTAGCAACTGCATTTTTTAGAGTAATACTATTTTTAAATGAATATTTCCTCTTAAATTTATAGGCAAAATGACACCTGTTATATATGCTATAAAAATATATGTTAACCAGTGATGATTTACATATACTTTCAGTGTCATTTTAATAATATTTAACATTTTCCATTTAAGGGTGAATGTGAAATGCTCTATTATCAAAAAACAATCCTGATTTGTTGTGGTACTCCACAGGGCGACTCCGGGGGCCCCCTTGTCTGCAATGGCTACTTTGAGGGCATTGTCTCCTGGGGTATTGGCTGTGCAAATCAGTACTACCCTGGTGTCTACACCAGAGTCAGGAGCTATATTCAGTGGATTAACTGGGTTATTGACAACACACCCTGAGCGATTTTTTTCAAAAACAGTTAAATGAACATAATTTTCAGATGGGCCTGAAATGAATAAATATTAACGTTAGGAATTTCTAAAATGTTCCTGGAAATATGTCAATATTGCACCTATAATTAATTGATTGTCACTCTTTTTTCTGATAGGGAATAATAAAAGAAAGACTTGTTGTTATGATATCCTTTTTATTTTTTGTTGGTACTATAGCAGTATAATTAGTAACTGTGTTAATCATTCAAAGTGAATAGTACTATTGAAAAATCACCAATGTTGTTGTTTTCACATGAATCAATTTTCCTATTATGCCTGTTACTACAAGCAAAACCTCTTATATTTTATTTAAGCTTCATTGTAAATATGACAGTTTCAATTAGTGCAGCTTTAAGAACAATTTTACCAATGCACTGGGTCTATAAACTGACAAGTGATACTTGCTACTACTACTAGTATGGAATAAAAGGTTAACCCATCCACAGTGACAGTGAAGATGCTGATTGTCTGTATCATGCTTCTATCAGTCTCTTGTGTTCAAAGTCCAAAATGTCCAAAAGTTGCTTAGAATATAAAAATCAACAAAGTGCTCAATTTTTCTTCACAAAGAAGAGCTGACCTTTATATGTTCATAAAACACATAGCAAATGGTTACATAATGCAGCTAGACAAACAAACAAATATTTTAGTAATCTGTCAAAAACCTGTTTAAAACTCAAAATTATCGACTTCACTGAACTCAGGTTTTGTTTTAAACATAAAGAACTCCTTAGGAAAGTGTTTACTCGTGTTATAGAGCAACTTAGGGCAGCTGTGGCATTAACCTCACACTGGGTGCCTAATCAAGTTGTTGGGTACTGTATCTAAACAACTAAATATAGAAGCTATCCTGCTGCACACTGAATAATTACAGCTTCTCTCTGGTGCTGGTTTCTGTTGTTAAGCTAAACCTAAACATTCATGCTCACATTCACACCTACGCCAGTTAACCTAACAAAGTTATAACATATGCTAAAAAGCTCTGATTAAAAATAATGGCATGCTGGGAAGTATATTACTGGGAAATTCATGTGAACCTGTTGAGGTTAACTATAATTTAACAGTGAAACATTATGACTACGAATAAGTTGAAAATAGTGCAGTAAGTGTGTATGATACATCCTGGTCCAGTGGAAATGATTGTTAAATGAAGACTTTTATAAATCAGTGTCCTTGTTTGGCACAGTGACCCCATCTAGTTAGTTGGTTATGCATGTGCTAAACTAACAACAAACAACGAACGAACAAACAATGATCTACACAAAATGAAAATAAGGTTTAAAAAAGTGCCTTTAACCTTGGTGGGTTTTCAAACTTTTTAAGAGTATACACACAGTATCTGACCTCTACTGTGTGTGTGTGTGTGTGTGTGTGTGTGTGTGTGCGTGCGTGCGTGCGTGCGTGCGTGTGTGTGTGTGTGTGTGTGTGATAATTACATTTACCAAAAAGGATTAGGTGGTCATTTGAACTTGTAATATTGTATGGTTAATTTTTTATTCATACTTTGGAAGAAAACAAAACGTATTGCTGAAGAAAAGAAAGCACACCCCTGTCAGGGGCATTCTCTCTGCTTTTTTTTGTTGTTGTTTACAGTAAGGTGATTGGATCCTACCCAATGGAACTTCAGAGATAAACTATACATGCTACAGGTTTGGCATTGATCATGTGATCAAGCAAATGCTACCATTTGTCCAATTTTTTATAAGCATTAATGGAAGCTAAATTTGTTTTTATAGTCTTATGCTACAGATTTTGTACACTTGTGTGGTTCCTCTGTAGTTGCATAACTGTTAAGTTTAAATTAATAATTTTAGTAGTGATGAATTAATGATTAAAATATCTCTTATTTGAGCCACACATTTCTTGTGAGATCATACATTTCATCTCCAAAAGTTGATTCTGTTCATCTGGACGTAGCGTGGGAGAAACATTTCGTGACTCATCCAAGTGATGAACAGAATCAACTTTTGGAGATTTACTTACCTGGATGATTGAGCATGCATCAAGACAACATACATTTTAAATAAAAGATGGATATAGTCACCTTGATGTTTAGAGAAGTCAGGTTGTGAAGCTTCAGGCTGAGCATTTTCACCAGTTTATATCAGGACTGTGAAACTGAGGGACACTGCACACCCACTGGCCAACATGTCAGTGACATGGTAAAGCTTCACCCTCCTTTTGACCAGAATTCACTAAATTAACATGTTGTATCCAACATACAACAAAACTATGAACTGACAACACTTACAACAGCAAACCTAATTAGCAGGCTTCATTTATAAACTGTACAGGTGTAATGCACAGATACAGATATTCACTAATTAGTGCAAAGTAACAGATTCTTGGGTGGTCTGTACCACATAGGCAAGCCATAATTTTTGTCAATTTTCTAATAAAATAAGTATCCACATGGGTAGTTGGATGACTTTTTAAAAGAAAAAAAAGAAAAGAAACAAACAGAAAAGAAAAGAAAAAAATCTACATCACCTTGAGTAGTTAAGGAGGGAGAAACTACTCAAACATTTTTGTGTCAGGCCTTAAACAACCTTTTAAATGCCATTGGGGACTGGGTTGTTATACTTTTTTTTTTAAATATATAGTGTGCTCGGCAGCCCAGCATAAATTGAACCTCTAGTGATCCTGTATTTGTGACATGATTAAATGTATTTGTGTTTATACCCTGATATGTCCCCTGATCGCTAAACGCCACCCTCCGGTAAACGAAAAGAAGACAGTCTAAAGGTTTGCGCATGCTCAGCAGCAGCAGTTATTGTTTTGTTTACATAACGCTGTCCTTTCGAGAGCTAGGTGTAGAGAGCTAGGCAGAAGTAAAACTTCGTTGTAGCAGCTTAAGTTACCTGTCCGGGTAAATTATGTCTGTGAAACACGCTATTAGCCGGGGACTCGAGTTGGGCCGGTCGGTCTTTCAGCTCGGTCTCCTGAAATCCGGTGGCCGACTCGCAGCAAAGCTCCGAGCTGACCGTTTCCGTGCAGGCCCGTCGGTCCGCACCGCTCAGCCTCAGGCTTTCCTGCCGTCTCGGTACCGCTATTACCGCACTTCTCTGAAAGGCCTGGCAGCTCAGCTTCAGTCCGCCGGCTTCAGGAGGTTTGCTGGCGGGTCCCCGCGTAACAGAGCTGTATTTTTGGCTTTCGGTCTCGGTGTGGGGCTTATCGAACAACAGTTGGAGGATGACAGAAAGAGTGCTTCAACATGCCAGGAGATCCAGGTATGGTATCTAAAAGTAGGTCACAGTAGGGTACCTAAGCGACATTTAAGTCGTTAAGTGTAGCAGCTTCTGACAAAGTGGTTTGTTAGTAGTCGTTTTTCTTTTAGTCTTTATTTTCATGGTTATTTGCCGTATTGGGGTTTTTTTTTTCACTGAAAGTTTGTTTATTTGTATCTTCACCAATTCTGCATATTGTTTTTACATTTATGAATGTTTTGTTGATACGGTAATGCATAGACCCAAGATTTGTGTACGTTCTTTAATTTTCATGCTGTTTGCACTGAGGCCTGAATGGATAACCTGGTTGCAATCTTGCATTAATTTACTTTTTATTATTTTAATATGTCTCTAGCTGCGTCTATAACAAGTGTAGGTACATTTGGGGGCTTTAAAAAGTTGTTGTATACAGTCTGATTGTTTTTCCTTTTTTTTCTTGACTAAATTTGTTTATAGCACGTGATTGATATGAACATATCTTTGTGTAGCTTATTATTATTATTATTATTATTGTTATTGCTTTCCCCTGCAGGCTGTTTTTAGAAAGAAGAAATTCCAGAGTCCATTTAAGCCATTCACCTCTGGATATAAACTGGAGGATTACATTCTAGGGAACCAGATTGGGAAAGGCTCCAATGCAGCTGTGTATGAGGCTGCAGCTCAGTTTGCTCCTCCAAAGCAAAGTGCCAGAAAATGCTCCCTGGTGCAGATAAAAGAAGGTGAAGTGGAAGCTGAGGCACCTCGATCTCTGACATGCTGCTCACTAAGGAACTTCCCTTTTGCTATTAAGATGATGTGGAACTTTGGGGTGGGTAGTATACTAATGGTTTGATAATGATTTCACATCTGTTTTAGGTTTTAATCCTCTGTATGAAAACAAACGAAAAAGAGCCACACATCAGTACCGACGGGTATTTTGCTATTTGTTTGCAGGCTGGGTCATCAAGTGATGCCATCTTAAAGTCTATGTCTCAGGAGCTGGTCCCTGCAGGTCCTCATGCCTTAAAGCAGGAAAAAGAAGAAATTACTCTGGATGGGTAAGTATTATAACCTCAGTTCTTTTTATTCCTGCCTCAGAGTGGTGACCTAAGGATAGGAAACGTACTAATGAATGGCTGTGATTTCTCTACATGCAGACATTTCGGAGTCCTGCCCAAAAGAGTGTCAGCACACCCTAATGTAATCCGAGTGTACCGGGCTTTTACTGCAGATGTTCCATTGCTACCAGGAGCTCAGGAGGAATATCCAGATGTTTTGCCACCCAGGCTTAACCCTACAGGCCTGGGCAACAATCGCACTCTTTTCCTGGTCATGAAGAAGTAAGACCTACCTTCCTACCTACCTCAGTGCTAGAAATGTGTGCTAGAAACATTGTGTATAAAAAAAATTTAAAAAAAGTCACTGTCTTTGTTTTCAGAGATTTTTAGTATTTTGTTGGGTTTTTTTTATAGTGTACGTGTCAGGTCATTTTTATTCAGTAACTTCACAGATTTTTTGTGTCATAGCTATCCATGCACACTGAGGCAGTACCTGGAAATGTCCACACCAAGCCGCAGGCAGGGCACTCTGATGGTGCTGCAGCTCCTTGAGGGGATTGACCATTTGTGCAGAGAGGGTGTCGCTCACAGGGATCTAAAATCAGACAACGTGCTGTTGGAATTCGACTCAGGTCCGAACAAAATTCTGTCAATAACAGAACAGTTTAAAGCCAAATGTAAACTATGCCAACTTGAGGTCTGT